GAAAGGGAGGAAGGAAAGGAAGGAGAGGAAAAAAGAAAGGAAGGAAGGAAAGTCTCATATATCACACACATATATATGTTTGTATACATATACATATGTGTATATGTGTGCATATATATAAATACACATACATATATATGTAGATATATATTTTTGTGGTAACAAAGAGCTAGAAGCTAGAAACTAGAACTAGAAAGAGCCCATCAAATGGGGAATGACTAAATTTGTTGTCATATATGAATATAATGGAATATTACTGTGATAAGAAATGATGAACATGATGAATGCAAAGAAGCATGGAAACCCACATATGAATTGATATAATGTGTAGTGAAACAAGCAGAAATGCATCAGACCAAGTCCAGACTGGGAAAGCCAAGAAAAAAAATTACAGTGAATCACCTTTCCAGCAAAGGTCAACATAGAGAGACACAACAAGAGGTTTTCAGACACTGGGGAAGGGTGTCTAATGAACAATGCCCTATAGAGAATCCCACCACAGGGAGAGGCAAAGAAAAGAGGCCCAGTTTCGTGTAAGAGGCAGGTATATACCAACCAGCAGCTCACTACTCAGTTCTAGGTAACAGATTTAGAGCTGACTGAGGAGGGGACCAGTGCCTAATGGTGACATTTGAGAGTGAGAAGGGATTGCAGGCTATCCATAGGTTCCCAAAGTGGGCAATACTGCCCCCCTGGGGGCAATGGAACTATGGGGGGGCAGTAATAGTCTCAGGTGCAATTGGGGGGCATTGAATAAAAATAAGGGGGCAGTGGAAGTATAAGGAAAGAAGAGAAGAAAAAAATTTTTTTTGAAAAACTGTTCTTACATGTTTCATCTGTTGTGTAACAGAGTTGAAGTTGTAATGATTACATCATTTTCCAAATAAACACACAAAATGCAAGATCAGTGGTCAAGTCTGCCAACAGGTCTTAACAAGAAAGTGTTGGCAGGGGAGTGGGTGGCACATTGTTGGAAAGTTCAGCATACATCAGCAGGAATATGTGTGTGTAATAACTTGTTTACAATATACTATATGGTTACATGATGTAATATTGCATCAACAAAATTTCAACACAGGAAAAAATCATAAATTTACAGTAAATTATTAAATTTAAGAAGCTTCATTTAAAAATATATATTTTATATTTTTGAAAGTATATAAATTTTTTAAAAACATCAAAGGGTTAAATAGAGAAAATACAGCTTGAGCACAAATTCAACTACAATTTTTGCAAGAGATGAAGAGTTGAAAAATGTTTTAATAAATGAAATGAAGGTATTAGAGGAAAAAACTGGTAAAGAAATGAGAACCTGAGAGCTAAAGAAGAAAGAATTGGAAAGGGAATTAATAGCTTGGCATAAGATGTACAAAATCTTGCCTAAGCAAAAGAAAAAAAATCCCTGAAAAGTAGAACAGGCCAAACAAATCCATGGGAACACAAGAAACATTTAAACAAAGTCAGAAGACTAAAAAAGTAGGGGAGATTTTAAAGTATTTCATAGAACAAAAAAATTAACCTGGAAAATGCCATGACCAAAAAAAAGAGCCTAGACATCATATTTCAAAAACTAATAAGGAAAATTAAATCATAACAAAAATACTTAGGATAATTAAGGGAAACAATTGTGTCAGAGGATCAAAATATTAAGAAAAAAATTAATGGACCCCCAGGTTAAGAATCCCTCTGTTAGGATTAGAGGCAAAGGGGATAGTGTTGTGGGAAGAAAAGGGGAGGGTGTATGTGTATTTCATTTTGGCCCAGGGAAAAGGAAGCAGTAGTCTATACCCTGGGCCTCCAGGTTGGGTCTCTCAGAGTTCTAGACCTGGAAGAAACCTGGTGACACTGAGGCTCATAGAGGAAAATGGCTTTTCTAAGATCAGCACAGCCGGTTAATGTGCAAACTAGGGAAAAGGCCTAAAAGCAGGGTCTAGTGACTCCTGAGGTAGCCTCATTTTCCAATCCCAACTCTGTTGATCAGTCAGGTTCTCCCTGAAATTCTCTCACTAGTGTTAGCAGTATATGGCACATATATGGTAGGTGCTTAATGCATGTTTATTGACTTACTAAAAATGAAATATCAGAATGGAGGTTTTAATTTAACCTAAGAATCACAGACTATTGGAATACAATGGAATTAGAAGCTCAACGAGATAAACGTAGCTGAAGGCCCTACATTAGGTCAAGATTTAGAGGCCCATGCTATTTAAAAAAAAAAAGAAAGAAAAAGGGGGCAGCTAGGTGGCGCAGTGGATAGAGCACCCGCCCTGAAGTCAGGAGGACCTGAGTTCAAATCAGGCCTCAGACCAAACACTTGACGCATACTAGCTGTGTGACCTTGGGCAAGTCACTTAACCCCAATTGCCTCACGTAAAAAAAAAAAGGAAAAAAAGAGCACAAAATAACATTTAATCATTACAAAATCTCATAATCAGAAAGCATCTTCTGGCATGCAGATGAAGTAAATTATGCAGGAGCAATTTCATTAGTTAAAAAAACACATCTGGTTAGTAATGGATAAAATGTACTTCCTTCTTACCCTCAAGCCCCCTAGAATCACCAGTTTCCACCAATTAATCAATCAACATTTAGTAAGCACCTACTATGTGCCAGGCATCATGCTAAACACTGGGGGATACAAAAAGAGGCAAAAGATAGTTCCTGCGCTTGAGGTGCTTACAACCTAATGGGGGAGAAAACATGCAAACAAACATAGAAGCTATATACAAAATAAATGGGAAATAATTAATAGTGAAGGCACTATAATTATGAGGAGCTAATTAAGCACTGATTAGTTGCTATCTTATACCTGATGCCTCTGTTGATTCCCCTCTCCCTCCCGCTACCCATTATTATTGGTCTCTTCTTTTTGAAATTATTTTGTGTGTATATAGTATTTATTTGTCCGAGTATGTGTTCCTCTCCAGCCTTGATGGTACATTGTTTTACCTTTACCCTTATTTCCTGGTCCCTAGTGCAATGAACCTTCAATAAATGTGTCTCAAATGTAAATGTCCCTCATAATCATTGGGTCATAGCTTTAGAAATCAACTAGTCCAACCACCTCATTTTAGAGATAAGGAAACTGAGGCCCAGTGACTTGCCCAAGGTCTTATAGGTAATATATGGGAAAGCCAGGGATCGAACAGAGATTCCCTGACTTCAAATCCAATGTTCTTTTCCCTGAGCCATACTGGAAGTAATATGAGACCCCAATCCTGAGATTCCTACCCTGGCTACTGTAAACTTGTTAATTTTGTATGAATATTTTGACAAATGTATTTCAATGTAATTGGTTTCCTTTGCAATTTTTTTCCCTTTGCAATCTTATTCATTTTATTTATACATTTAAAAAACATTATCCTGAGAAGGGGTCCATAGGCTTCACCAGACTGCCCAAGGCATCCAAGACACACAAAAAGGTTAAAGACCCCTCCCCTAGTCTGTAGCTCACTTAACTCATGGCTAAATCCACCATTGCTTGGAACATACTTCAGAGGTCTTGAGGCAAGGGGTCCCTGTGCATGGATCAGAAACAAGTGGTCACCCAACCTCTGAGAATACCTTCAGTATCAGGGAATTGACTACAACGCTTCCTTCTTTCTCAGAATATGACCCATCCAGGCAACTTCAGATTTTTTGTATCCATGTAGCTCAACTGTCCAAACTGATTTTGTCTTATTTTACCTCTAATTTTCTTTATTTAATTCACTTTCAGACCTAGCATCCTCCTAATTTTCTCCTCACCTCTGCGGTCAGTCAATGAGATAGAGTCTTGCTCTGCCATCTTCTACATCCACAAGGTCTCCCTGAGGCCTGCTCTCCTAACTAGTGAGTCCTTAAGCCTGACCACCATTTCATGAAGGTCCACAGCCATGCTTATGTCATGCCAAACTGAATTCACTTTCTGGCTGTCTCCAACTTGTAAGACAGTAAGCAAGTCTTACCCCCTTCCTGGGGACCTGCTTCTCATCCCCTCTATGTGTGGTCTTCCCCCATTAGAGAGTAAGCTCCTTGACAGGAGGGACTGTCTTATTTGCTTGTGTTTCTATTTCCAGCACTTA